ACAGCAAACAGCAGGACATGAGCGCAGGACACAGCTCCGCTCTGCCCACAGGACACGGCCACAGGACACAGCTCCTCTCTGCCCACAGGACACAGCTCCGCTCTGCCCACAGGACACGGCCACAGGACACAGCTCCTCTCTGCCCACAGGACACAGCCCCTCTCTGCCCACAGGACACGGCCACAGGACACAGCTCCCCTCTCTGCCCACAGGACACAGCTCCGCTCTGCCCACAGGACACGGCTCCTCTCTGCCCACAGGGCACAGCTCCGCTCTGCCCACAGGACACAGCCCCTCTCTGCCCACAGGACACGGCCCTCCTGTTGCCCACAGCCTGGGCCGCGGCCGGCCAGGGCAGCCTTGCCCGGCACAGAATCTCCCAGAACGGAGCTCGCTGAGAGCGGGGAGCCCTGCAGGCTCTGCCACAGCTGAGGTGACCCCGGCACGCTGGGGACAGCTCCCGGGCTCAGCCCCACCAGCTCCGCCTGCTCCCAGCAAACCCGGCAATCCCCCGGGCCTTTGGCAGCAATGCTCGGGTCAAGAGGTGCCGGCACAGCCCCTCTGCTGTGCTCCTGGTATTTCCATTTCCCTTAGACACCCCAAAGGCAAAGGGACAAACCAGCTCATTAAACTGCCCACTCTGCTCCCGAATGTCTTTTCCATACTGGACAGCCGATTTTCCGAGCCCTGTAAATATCATAACAGTACCATGTCCCCTGGAAGCCCAGAAGCAGGCTCGCATCCAAAAAGCCGCTGGTCTAAATCTGTAACGCAGAAACGCAACTTATTCCACGAGATCCCAAGTGGGAAAACTGGCTGGGGAACACAAGTACTAATTTATGTCAATTAGATTATCTTGAATGGAATATTTAATATTTTTAATGGAACATTTTTTAATTGCTGCTCATGGGTACTTTGTAGCTGTTGGAAACTCTGATCTAAATGATTATTTTAATGAAAGATTGCCAAAGGACTCACATTTGAAACTCCTACGTAGGCTAACAGTGGGACTGTTTTCCCTGGGCTGGCCAGCCCTCGTTTCCCAGTCAAGGCACTCAGGGTAATGCCAATTAGCACAGCTAAAGAACTCAATGAGGCAAATTGCTGAGGGTGCTCACCGCAAATCTGACTGTGGAGCCTCCTCAGAAACAGTCTGAGCCGATGGGCTCATATGGACAGCGCAGGACCCCTCAGAAAAGGACATCTCCTGACATATTTGTGTCAGGGCCCTGAGGGCACTGATGGGTTTAACTGCCCTGACCAGTCCCTCCTGTACCCCCCTCCTGCTGCCCATTGGAGGGGGCTCCATTTCAGCTCAGCCTAGAAGTGCCTCCATTTCCCCCAGAATGTTGCTGTAGCTGCAGCCTCCCGTACAGCTCCTGCCCCAGATGGATCAACACCCCACGCTGCGGGTAGGTCTGTTCCCAGCCCTGCTTCTGGCCTGTCTCTGGGGTGCACCTTGTGTTGATGTAGAAGCCTTGCTGCTCCCTGGCACGTTAGCTGTGCCACCTGAAGCAAATTGAATTTGGAATGCTGTCCCAGCTTCTGACCAGTTTTCCCCCTCCTGAATCACAATAAGTTAAATCTGGACCAAAAAAACAAAAAAAAACCCAACCAAAAGCCATCAAGATCCTAAAACTATTTCTAAAGGTCACATTTCTTGTCTGTTCAAGTTGCCAGATTACAAAGTTCCACACACATATATATGTGCCTATACAACCCTTTAAATCATCATTACTGTCCCCTTTTCCAAAGGGAGAGCTGCAATTTCAAGTGAAGAAGCAGATTGTATTTATAGTCTGGTTTTATCTTTCAGCCACAATACACAAATCCATGGAGCAAGGTCCCTGCACTGCCATTTGTTTACTGCGTGGCATTGCTTTCCCATTCTCCTGGAGTGGTGAATCATCCTCGCTGCTGAGCTCGCCCTGCTCTCAGAGGCCCTCTCCAGCCTCTGTGCCACAGAGCACTTGATGAGGGTCAGCAGCCTTGGTGCTGTGCTTTAGAAGGTTAATTTACATGTTGCCTCTCGGCAGCATGGAGGACTGTCCATCAGCTTTCCTGTGCTGTGGTGTCAGGGTAAGCTCTTCAAAACCCAAATTGTTGCTGGATGTGGTCAGCTGAAACTCCTGACCTAGTTTCTAAAAATCATGTGTTTGGTTTAAAAAATTAGATTTACTGCTTTCTAAAATAATTGTGTAGTCTTTGCATCAAGTTGTTGTTTGAGGAATTACTAGAGATACTCCAGTTGCAATTTTGAATTTCTCTTCCTTGTCATAAAGGTGAGAGGTGTATATTTTTGTGATACACAAGTAGGGAAACCGCTTGCCTGTAGCAGCTAAGAAGAACACCAACTATCATGACACTGGTTTAAAAACAGTGATATGTGGATAGTTAGAAGTTGCTGTTATTCCAGGTTTGCTGGGGTGTTTCAGCAATTCCAGATCCTCAGACCTGTGTGCAGTTATCAGCTGTGTTAGGATGGCATGGGCTGGCAGCGACTTGCTCGGGGTCAGTCTGGGCTCGCTGTGTGGCTGCAGGCAGCACCCAGGTGCTGGGGTGGCCTCCTGCAGATGCCCACTTCTCACTCCTCTGCTCTTTGCAGCATGTTCCCCGTGAGTGCCAGGCTTGTTTACACATTGCTTCAGGTTCTGTGCTCCTTTGCAGCTATGCACTGAGATCCTTCTTATGTTTCTGCCTCGGCAGCTCCAGCCCATAACCCAAATAGTGAATATGGGCAGGAGCAGTTTTGTAATCTGATGGATTCTAAAAAAGGGACAGTGCCCTGGCCAGCAGCACCCACACCTTGGCCTGCAGGCCCCCAGTTCCATCACCCCCCCTTGCTTTCCCCACGCCAGTCCTGTCCCTGCCATCACCGTGTGTTTGGCTGTGGGCAGTCTGCTGGGAGTGGGGCTGTGTGAATGTGGATGGGCTGTGGGGGAAGGAGCAGTTTATTACTTGTTGCCATTGGATACTGATACCAGAGTACCAATTTTTACAGCAGCTGCAAGGCTGCCAGGAGTGCAGAACCAGCAATTGTTAAAACAATTGTTGGGGTTTTATTTCCACAGGAAATGTTCATAGCAATATCTCGGGTTGCAGCACTCCCAATGTGCATGTAGTACCTGGTTTTCTAGTGAAGCTGCCTCCTAGGAGTTGGGAAAATAGATTAAATATGAAAAAGCAGCAACTGGAAGGACCATTGTATGTTGGATTTGACTAAATGACGGGGGATTTTTTTTGCAAGGTTTTTTGTTTTGTTTTTTTTTGTGTTTTGGTTCTTTTTGCTGTTGATACACCGGGTTGTTTTCTGCACAGCTTGGCCTTGGAGCCAGGCCCCTCTGTGTGGCAGACAGACTGTGCTAGGGACTCAGCAAGGCTTGGTTGCTTTGCCAGCCCAGTGGCTCGCTCTGTGGCAGCTGCAGAACTGCCTGCATGGCCCTCCTAAAGCTCAATACTCATGAGTCAGATTTTAAAAACACCCCAGGAGAGCCTCAGGCAGGGATGCCAGGCCTAACAGCCCCATTTAATTTCCTCTACATACTGTGCTATAAGTGGTTCAGGCACCTGCTGGAACTAGAAATGTTTATTTCCTTAAAACCAGACACCAGCAGTGGTTAATTACCACATCCCAAACTGGAACAGTTGAATCTTCATGGAATTATTCCTGCCCCAGGTCTGAGTATTTAATAGGTATACTTCTGGCTATTTTTTTTATTTTGTTATATCACAAAAGCAATTATCAGCCCAAATCTGTTTTCCTTTGTTAGTAAAAAAACCTCTGTTGCAGGAAATTATCAGGATGGCTTTTTCTTGTGCTTTCTTTATGCAGACTTAACTGATCAGCAAATGTAGTTGCATGAGAGCTGGCTCTCACAGCTCCAGCTACCTAATGCAAGGTAGGAGCCATACCAAATGAATTTCTGTGCATGGAGCCAGTATATCTGTGGGTATGTATTCACTCCACTATACATAGAGTCCTCATGTATTCATAGACTGGTGTGGGTTGGGAGAAGGCCTAAATATGATCAGGGTGGCAAGGACCCTCCCACCAGACCAGGCTGCTCGAAGCCCTGTCCAACCTGGCCTTGAGCACCTCCAGAGATGGGGCAGCCACAGCATCTCTGTGCTACCTGGTCCAGTGCCTCTGCACCCTCACGGCAAGGCGTTGCCTCCTAATATCTAATCTAATAGCTCACGTCTCCTAATATCTAATTTAATCTGGCCTACTCTGTTGGAATCCATTCCCCTTTTTCCTGTCACTCCATGCTCGTGTGAGAAGTCCCCCTCCATCTTTCTTGTAGGCTCCTCTCCTGCAATGCACATATACAGACCTGAAGGAGTTACTTTTGAACAGCTTTTTGGATGTATAATTGAAGTAGAAAATACCATTGCTAGAATTTTCTTGAAAAGGCTTGGAAAAGTGGAGTGTTACAGAAGTGACTGCTGTGGATACCTGTGAAATAAACAAAGCTGTGAATTGAGCAATGGAATAACAATGACCAGAAACTTTCCCCATAGCAACTGTCACGTAGCTGGGAGTCAAATGCCTTTATTGTACTATTGTCTCTCCTGACTTTGCACAGGTTCTGTGATACTGAAGTCCTCCTAAACCCTTTCTGAAGCAGAGGTGGGGCAGGAGCAGGTAGAGTACAATGGGTGCCCATGTTCCCAGTGGCATCCTGTGAGCTACAGCAGCACTGCTGCTCTGTGTGGTCTGGCATAGATATTCAGATAGCTGAATGTATGCCTAACATGTCTTAGAGGCTTGCTTCACAGACTTGTTGGGACAGAGGATGTGGTTCAACAATGTCTCCCTGTTAAGCTTTCAAGCTCTGCAGGTTTTTATTCTCTTGCCAAAGCCCAATCAGAAAACTCACTTCATAGATTAAGAGCGAATGGCTTTAAAATTAGCCCTATTAAGATCTCACCCAGGACCCACAGTCTCCATACTCTCTATGTATCTGTGTGTGCAACACAAATTAGGCAACAAAAGAAGCTTTGTATCAAAATAGTTTATTAAAAACAAAACTTCACTGAAGCTTGCTGTCTTCAAGACAGAATTATGACATTGCAGCATTCAACACAATCATAATCCACATATAAATATAATACTATACAGCTCCTGTTCGCCTTGGCCAAGTTCTGCCCTCAGTCTGGCCCCGCACAGCCCTGCTGACACAACCCAGCCCTGCATACTTTAGCTGCAGAACCTGTTCCTCTGGGAACAGAGTTATTCTATCCCTTCCTCCCCTCACAGTGCTGTTACTGTGAGGAGCTTGCACAGAAACCCAGCACAGCTCTTGGCAGCTCGAGGCAGCAACAGAACCGGTGTGAGCACACCGAGCCTGACAACAGCAGCGCTGGGGGATGTTTAGGAAAAATAAATAGGCAATTACTCAAGTTCCCAGCAGTGCCCAAGTGCAGAGAGCAGCTTCTGTTCCCAAGAAGGAAGCTCTGTCCGGACCTGCCGCATTGCTCCTGGGCAGTGACAGAAGGGCTCCTGCACGGCCGCCTCTCGCTGCAGCACCGGCAGGGAAGGGCAGAGCCTGCAGCTGGCTGCCACTGCTGCCAGCTCCCCTGAACACCCTCCAACAGCGGCACTCTGGGCCAGCAGCTCTGCACCCAAGGCAGCGTTTGTCCTTGCACTGTGGCAAACACACTGAGTGCTCAGTGCCCCAGCCTTTCGGGTCAGGATGCTGCTCGTGAGCTGTGGCTTGGCTTCCTCGCCAGCCCAGAGGCTGCTTCTCCCTCCTCTCCATCACTCAGGTGCCCTGGGCTGCTCTGCTGATAGGTGTCTTCTTGCACAGTTCCTGGTAGAATTCAGACTCCAAAAAGCGTGGGTAGGAGTTATTCTCCATTAAGCTGTAAACTCTCTTCTGGGCTGCGCTGAAGCAGGTATGGGTGGCTTCCTGGATGTTCTGTGCAATCATGCTCTTGGTCTGGAAGTCTATATTTATCTGAAATACAGAAAGAGGGACATTACTCCTGAGAACATAATTCAAGTAAGTGTAATGCACAGTACAACCTCTGGAAAGGTCAAAAAGGCAAGACCCCATTACTGCAGGGTCAGTTTACTGGAGATTTTTCTTTAAGAAATTTTCTTTAAGATACTTTTCTGTAAGAAAATTCTCCTTTTGCACAAAAGCAAAACTAATTCAAATACATCTTTTGTCAGTTAAAATGGAAATTCTCTGCAACACTGCTTCTGCCATTTTCCAGTTGGGTGAAAAGGCAGTTGTATCCAGACCCAGACATTAACCGTGAGCTTATGTGCAATGCAGTTTGACATCTGTGTCTTGAGTTCAGAGAAATAATGGCTGTAAGAACTCATAGAACTCATAGAGAATTTATTTTTAAGCAGCTTTTCTTTACCTCTTTGGGAGCCTCCTTTTCAATGAAATCATTGTAGATTTTCTTTGCTTTCGATGTCAGCTTTTGGGGTGATTTAGTTTTCTTAAAGTCCTCACAGGCCAACCAGAACTCAATGTTCTCTTCACAAAATTCAGACTTCAAAAAAGCTCGGAAAGCAGCAAGACCATCTAAGGAAAGAAAAAAGTACTCACCATCAATTAACTATTTCAGGAATCTTGATTTTACCTATTCCTCACATCAATTTCAGAATGCTTTGCTGTAGGTCTATTTCTTTCAGAGATATCATGACAATAAAAAGGTTCCATAATTTATGTTTGAAAGCAAGTTAATGCTTGGACAGTTGGGCAGGTTTCACTCTGAGTTTGCCATTTCTTAGGCAAACACAAAAAATGAAACCATTTCTATTGTTATGTTTCTTTCTGTGATGCCTGAGAATACATTAAAAAAACATTTCTCTCTAGATAAGCTCTCCTCTGTTAACCTTTGCACTGCAGTAAATATGACTACCATAGTCTGGAATATTCTTTCAATGGAAAGGATGAGTCAAGCTCAAAGAGCAAATAGTAGTATTGTTTCTTTTACTTTGCTAGTGAACGCTGCTTCTTGTACAGCTACGGTAAAACCCCAAGATCACCGAACTTGTGTTGCAGAATCCTTCCCACATTACTGGAAAGCACTTGGTTTGGTTATGCAGTGAGCTCAGGGAATAAATGCCCTTTTCTCATTTGGCAAAACCAAGCTGACAAGTATGATTTTAGCTATGGGAGTTTCAGGGGAAAAAAAAAACAAACTATGGAGATATTATTTGTTTTACTATTAGTTAACATTTTTTATAAAAAAAACCCACTTCTATATATTCTGGCTTTAGACTGTTAAAAGCATTTAACCTCCAAGACCAGAATTAGAGCTCTTCCCATGAGAGGTACAATGCTGACATTGAAGGAAGCAGACTCTTACAGACATAAAAACTTCTCCATCCCTTTGCTCCCAAATGTTACTTTTTGAAGAGAAACTTACATTTGTTAGCAAGAAGTTCATCAAAGGCTTCTGACCACAGCTGGGCCTCCTCAGGGGAAGGTCTGCAGAAAGAGGGGGAGAACATCAGACTACACTACTCAAGCTTTACTGCTCTTGAAGAACACTCCAGTTATTTAAACAGTCTTTCTCCTAACTTACCTGAAGTAGTTGCGGTGCTTCCCTGCCTTCTTAGATTTCCTTTTGTTAGAATTGGAAGAGTTCTGAAGGAAGTAGCTCAACTTTGTTTTCCAATCTTTAATGCTGGAAGGAAGAAGAGGGAGATGCTCGTTAAAGGTGGCAGCTCGCAGAGCTTTAGACAGCAGCGCTGTCCCCTGAGGCGGCTCCTGCAGCGGGAGTCACCCACAGCCCCTGAAGGCAAGGAAAACGCTTCCCGAGCGTGCGGGCGGGGGGACTCACATCGTTCTCTTCATCCTGCCCTTGTCGGCCTCCTCCGGCTCGCTGCGGCGGCGGCCGCCCCGCTCCGTGCGCCCGCCGTGCCGCACGGCCAGGACCAGCGCGCTCTGCATCCCGGTGCTCGGGGTGCTCCCACCGCTCCCGGTGCTTCCACTGCTCGGGATGCTCCCACCGCTCCCGGTGCTTCCACTGCTCGGGCTGCTTCCACTGCTCGGGCTGCTCCCACCGCTCCCGGTACCGCCGCTCCGCCCGAGCCGCGCCCGCTCTTATGGCCCCGCGGGCGGGCGGGGCCGGGCCGGGCCGGGCCGAGGGCGGCACCGAGGCAGCCCCGCCTGCCTGCAGGGATCTGCGGAGCCAGCTTCGCCTCTCGTCCGCATCGCGTCCCTTTTACCCCTTCATTTGGTTTTCCCTTATCCCCCTCTTCTTGGAAATCGTTCGGCGCGTCCCCCCGCCAAAGGGCTGGCTGTCCTTCCCGTCAGTCAAAAACGTACCCTGCTCTTCTGGAGGTGTTTGAAGGTCATTCAGCTTTTTGAGTGTGGTCAGTACGCGAAAAAGAAAGGACCTAGCCATATTTCTTCAAAAAAATGAAGTTGCTCTAAGTTTGAGCGTACGGTGCTTTTGGGGTCTCCCCTTTGCTGACCCGGGCTGTGGCTCCCTTCCACCCCGTGTGTGCGCAGGGTTTAGCTCTGGGCAGTGTTGCCCCCTACCAGTGAATTCTGTAAATTACTCCCAGCTCTGGGAGCCGAAGTTGCAGCGCCCTGCTTGAGCCCTCGGCTTGTTGAAAAGGCCGTGTGGTCCTTCTCAGCAGTGTCCAGCTGGAGGGTATCATGTCCAAACAATTTGAATTTAGGAACCATGTGAGTTTACCCTCTCTCTGCTTTTCTGTTTTCTTCTCTGTGCATGTGTCTTCCTCTCCACAGTACCCTAGAGTCTGTCTTTCCTGCCACAAAAAGCAATGTTCAGAGAGACTGACTCCCAGAATGCCAGCTGACTTCAACAAAATGATGTAGCATAAATGTCTGATCCTTTTAGATAATCACTGTGTCCTTACAACCTCTGCTTGCTGAACACTCACAAACTGCACTAAAGCATTTTGCTTTAAATGAGATGTCTGGGGAAAAGGAATGCCATTTAATTTGTGGCAGCATTTAAAGGACTTTTCAGTGCTTCTAGTTGTACTTTGCAGCATATATTGATGATCTGATAAGAAAATTAAGTTAAATCCCATATATTTTACCAAATCACTTTAAATTATTTTTACAACAGGTAGCTCTTAGTCCTGTATATGGCATGTAGGGAAATACTGGGAAATATAGGGAAATATAATATGGTATAAAGGGAAATTATTGTGAGGGTGGTTACCATGGGAGAAAGTATGGGAAGAGAAAGACTCTAGGTGCTGTAAAAGCGTCAGTTCCAGAAAGTCTGTGGGGTGAAGCTGCCAAAGCCAGGAGCGGGGCAGGCAGTGCCAGGATGATGGATGGGTGTGTGCCCACGGCCTTCCAGCGCTCCAGCTGTGCGGGCCTGGCACAGGCAGGCTTGGAATAGCACCGGGACCCTCAGCCCTGGCCTTCCCCACGCTGCAGCCTCTGCAAAGGATCAAATGATCTGCAAAGAAGAACAGCACGTCCCCACCTGCAGCCCGCCTTGCAGATTTCTGCGGTTTGGATGCTGGTTTCGAGTTTCCTTCACCTGATTCTCAAAGCTGAATGGGGGAAAATGTGCCAGCTGTTGGGAAATGGGAAACTTCAGAGTCCAGCACGCTACAGAAAGGTTCAGTTAAGCAATTATATTAATTTGGGAACTTACCCCTAGCACACCAGAGAGCCTGCAGATGTTTAAAGCCTGACAAAATGTTTTCTTATTGGTCCTAGAGGAGGATTGCAAGTGTAGAGCTGGGATATTCCCAGCATCTGCCAAGTTGTAAAGTTGGCAGTAGTCAGCATATGGAAAATCGCAGCATGAATAACGTATTTATCTGATACTTTCTATTTAAAACTTTTAATTGCTTCTTTCAGAAACCCATAAAATGGAAGTGCCAGTTAAGGAAGGCAGTTGTAACATATGTGATATCTTTCAAGAGTGGAATAAACAGATGAAATATTAGGCTGAATATGGAATTGTGAGGTTAGATGACCTTATAAAAAATTCTTATTGTAGCATTTGGTTTAAAGAGTATTTAGATTAAAATTGAATTTTGCTAGTTGTGTTAGGTATATTTTGGTTTATATACTTATTACATTTTTAAAGCATGAATATTGCTGTTTTTTCCAGTAAAAGAGACACTTTACAAAATACTTTTGTATTTCACCATGGTGTGTTTTCTGGCTGGGACAGTTACCTTTGCCAGGACATCACTTACACATCTGCATGATAAAACACGTTTTCCATTTATGTTCAAAGAGCAAGAAAAAGTGTCTGACCCCCTCCAGTGCCACCAGTGCGCTGTTCCCAGTCCGGGCTGGGATGGAAGGGAAGAGGCTGCTGGGAGAGAGCCGGCCAACTTCTCCCCTTGAGAACTTGCCCAGGTGCTGTGGGCAGGAAGTGGCCCTGGCACTGCCTGCAAGAGTGTTTAGGCTCACTGAGCAGTTTTAAAGGCACCAAACCCAAGCATGACTTCATTTCATCAGTTTCTGGTTTTCCAAAGCAAGCTGGCAAAATGGCTCAGGTCATTAGCTCTCCTCTCTGAAGGGGGATCTGTTTCAGACCGGTGGTGCCGTACTCTGACTGGGCAAAGGACATTTGGCATCTCAGCCCTGTCCTGCGCTGTGTCTTGCAACAGTATATTGAAAATTCTGGGAAAATCAGGAATTGGGGTTGTAAAGAAAAGCCCTGGGTTGCAGCACAGGTTCAGGTGTGTTAGCACAGCACAATATGGAGTGCTGCTGGAAAAATCAAGGTCTCCAAGCTGTGATTCCTTTCACTGGGAACGGGTCTGAGCAGCTCCAAGCAGTGCCCAGGGCAGCCCTGCAGATCGGCCTGTGGGAGTGCTGACCTCTGCCCTTTGGAGACAGGGAAGCTCTTGGTAGCTGAGGACAAACGCAAACATAGTGCTCCAGCTTTTCCTTTACGTCCTCCTTAAAGCTTCCGTCTATTTCTGTCCCACTAATCTCATTGGCAAGGGGCACGGCCGAGGGAAAGTGGTGGGAGGAGAGAGCCCAGAGCCCAAACTTTGCTGTTGAAGTCAGTGACAAATTTGCCATCGCCTGCAGCGAAATCTGATGTCAGACATTTAACGGCACAAGCGCTCACCCTGGAGATCACACTTCACTTTTCAGAGCCTTTCTTGAGAATGTTCTGTTCTTTTTCTGCTTATACAATTCCTACGGTCACCAGGGATGGCTAGATGTACAGGGGACCGCAGCACTGGCAATAAACATCTCAGGGAGAAGATTAGGATTTTTCCATCTCAGTTACGTTCTATGTCGCAATAGCTACGCTGATCTTTGGAAGTCGCCAGTGAGTTGTTCTCACTGAATGATGCTTAAATCCGTGTCTGCATTTAGTGAAATGCCAGCCCTTGTTTCTTTCTTTTACTTGGCTGGTAGGACACAGGAAAAGTGGTCCAGAGTCTGTAGCTGAGTTTCATAAAGCCAGGAGGATAGAACATGCTTTTGCATGCTAGTTCAAACCATGCATGGGAAGTATTTGAGGGATGTCTTATTGAACCCTCAGCTATGACTACCTGAAAAATCATATTCAAAAGAAGGAACAAGATATTGAGCCGTGTCTTTTTGTTTTGTAATGCAAATTGCAAATTTCCTGTATTTTTATTGTTCTTGAATGTACAGCTGTGCTGTGAGATGATTCATGTAGGCGTCAGAACAGATCAGCCAAGCACACCACATTGTGACCCTCTGTTCTTACCTCCCTTTCAGGCTGTGTCTTCTCTGAAGTGCAGGGGCTGATCTGCACCCGTACAGAGGAACACAGAGGTGCCCAGCTACGGTGCCAGCAAAGGCTTTGTGCTGTGCACTGCTGAATAACAGCAGCCAAGCCCAGGCTGTGTGCTAGGGCACTAGTTTCTAAATGAAGGTTATGGTTATGAATATTAAAATTGCCACTCTTTCTCATTTTTCTAATAAGCAAAGAATTTCACTCAAACCCTTAGTCTAATACTAATCCTGTTCATTGCATTCTGCCTTTCTAACTCCTCCTAGAATTTCAATTACATGTAGTAGGGGGTGCTGTTTCCTTTGGATTTTTTTTGTTTTTTGGTGGTTGTTCTGTTTGGGGTTTTGTATATTTTTTATCTCGTTTGTTTGTTAGTGTTTTTTTAATTGCTTAAGATTGCTGAAGTCAAGTTGTTGCATTCTCTGCCTCTGGCCCTGCAGGCTGTGCCTGACAGGCTGTTGTACTTCCCCCAGCATTGTTTTCCAGTCATAAAACTCAAAATGTGCAAATGACCAGAAGCCATTTCTGGATCTAAATTTAGCACTACTATGGATTAACACTAACCTGGTCCAGTTATATGCTGAGTCTTTCCTAAATAAAAATAAAAGGTATCTCATTACAAATGGATTTTGTTTCACTTAGCAGCAAAATCCTCTGAGTAACCTATAAAGTAGACAGAATTCTCGGAGAACTCATCAGTCCCAGCCCTCAGCCACCTTCTTTTGCATAAACACTGACATTAGTTTATAAAAGTTCTAAAAATAGAGCTGAAATTTGTCAAGTGGACCAGCTGGGACTGTGTGTCTACATACAGGGTTGCTGTTGTGTGGATGTGTATGTCTCTGTTTTAGTGATGCTGTGAAAAGAGTATGAACTTAGGCATTGAGCCCAAATTGTGATTCCTCCTCTGCCCCTGGACATTGGGGAATGTTGGTTTTGAAGGACACACTGGACAGCAGCCATCAGGAATTGGAACAGCAGGTTCCCTGGGAAGCAGGGATGGCTGTCCTGCTCGTGTCAGATCTACTTTATCCCCTCTGCAAAAAAAGCTGAAAGGAGACCTGTTAATACAGTCTGCATTCTAAAGGACAGCACATTCTCAAATTCCTCATGCCTTTTGTCAATACAGAAAGCAAACAGCTTAGCAAGAAGCAGGGCACTTTTAACAATTAGGTTTTCTTAGCAGAAGCCAAGCTGGGTTACACCATCTCAGGTGAAGAGAGATGATTAATCTTGTTTGAGGTCAGCCAGGTGGAGCAGAACACTGGCTCCATGTCCTGTTCCACTTGCAGCCCATTTTGCCCTCCCTCTCCCCAAAGAC